GATAAAAATTGCACCGAACTCAAAATATCTGGTGAAAACTTTCCAGAAAATGCTAAAATCGTACAAAACATCATTTCAATAACATACCAAAAGTTACGCGGTAAAAGTTTCGTTAATACAAAGATATGCACATTTTTCGGTAACAGAAACACAAAATTGAGCAAAGAAATACCAAAACTCAAAATCTTTGAAATCAGAAATAGGATTCGGAGTTCTTACTGCAAGGCGAACAAATCTTCCAACAACGGCGACAGACGAAAAGCGCACCGCGAGCTCCAAAACCAAGCACTCTTCTCTTTTCCTTCTCTTTCTCTCTCCAGCTTTTTCTCTCTCTTCAAAATGATCCAAAATATCTCAATTCAAATACTTATCAAACATGTTCGTCCTAGATGATTTCCATTCATCCCGGGACGATTTACCCTCTGGACAAATCTCGTCCAGACGAAGTGTATTCGTTCCTGGACGATTTTCTCTCTGGACAAATTTCGTCCCGACGGTTCGTCGAGGCTCGTACAGGTTCGTCCAGACGAACCATACAGATTCTTCACAATTTTCTTCAGTTCGTCCCATACTAAAGTTAGTTCGTACGGACTAACTGCACTAAAAAAATGCATTTCGGAGGAGTTTTACAGATATTGTGGAGAAGAGAGCAGAGATCAAATTGCTATCGATGAGTCGCTAGCAAGCAAGTTCTTGCATTGCTTCTATGGAGGGCGGAGCACTGCTGCCTATGAGGTGGCCGACGTACCCATTAGCATAAAATTGTTGGATGATCTGAATCCGCCAAATAGCATAGTTGTCAGTGTTGAGAGGATGAGGGATGAGGTTATTGATGTTGGAGACTAGAAATTTAAGAGGCGCCAGAATGGAGACATCGGCATTGTTGTCGGCGGGATTATAGGAAGAGGGAGGGAGGGAAGAAGTGGAGCTTTAGTCCCCCATTTGTGGCTCTTAATACCATGAAAGAGCTGCCAAGGAAGCCTTGGCAGAGACGGGATGAAACAGCGACAGAGAGAATAAAGGAAATGGAAAAGTAATTCTATATCATATAGGTGACGGTACAGAGAGCTTTAAATAAGCTAATATAGGTAAAGGAGTAAATAGAGTAGGTACACTTTAATGTGAATGAACCGCATGCTAACAAGAAGATGTGAGATACTTGACCCAGAAAGTTGATGCACGGATAGTAAGTCTTATGCTAAGGATTTGTCGTTGCCGACCACCCCCACCCGAGCTACAACAGTTGTTGTGGCATGGTCACGACATGACATCGTCGATGATGAGGAATATCAGAATAATCAAGCACTTTTGCATGAATGAGGCATTTACGACATTTTTGCCCTTTGAAACCACGGGAAGCAGTGAAAGGTCACATGAAGCAGTGATGGGCCGCAAAAAATTTTCCAACCCAGATCTGCTGTAATGCCCCCAAACATCCATTTAACAATTTTTTATACAAAACAACAACATCAAAGCCGTCCCAAATGGACCCTAAACTGAGACTTCAGACTAGTAGTGTGTGAGTGACACACATTAGAACACTCATAATGTCACCCAAACAATAGGAAGGTTTTGGACATTGTTTCTATCTAGGGATATAAATAAGTCGAGTCGAGCTCAAGACACAACAAACTCGAGATCGATTCATCACTCAAATAGACAACTCGAGCTCGAATTGAGCCCAACAAATGAGCTCGAACTCGGCTCGATCATTCAAACTCAAGCTCACGAGCTTGACTAGATATATAGTCACAAGCGATATTTTTTCTTTGTTGGCAAAGTCACTTACCATGGTGGAGCTAGCCATGGAGAGGTTGCAGAGAGTGCTATGCAGCCCATGCTTCGTCGAAATGAAAGGTCTCGAAAAGAAGCTAGAATTGGGTTTTTTTCTCTTTTTTTTTTTGAAAAAGCTATATAAAGTACAATATAATAAATGATGACATGATTTTTTTTTTTTGAAAACTTGTGTAATGTACACTTATTTTAAATATTGTCATTAAATGCATAAACTTTCTGATTTTAAATATTTATTTCAACTGAAAATTAAAAGTTTAAATATTTAATTTATTTAAACTAACAAGCCGAGTTTAAACAAACTCGAACTAGAGCTTGTGGCTCAATAAGCTGGACTCACAAGCTCATTAACGAGTAGACCTCTAGCCAGCTCACTAGCCGGCTCAGCTTATTTACAGCTTAGCTCTATCAAAGGGTGTTCTAGACCATTTTTTATATCAAGTAATGTGCTAGGATAAAAATAAGAAATTAGTGTATTTAAATATTAAAATCTCAAACATTGATAAGTAATCAAAAGAATATAAGTGTAGAGTGTTATCCTCTGCATATTTATCAAAATCAATGGCAAGGGAAAGAGAAGGAAAATGACGATTAGAATGCATGCAGTCATGCGAAACAAACATTGAGACACATCGACTATGGTTGAAACCACCCAAATTTTGCTGATTGCGAAACATATAGCATTTCATGCATTAGGACATCAAATTTATCAAAAGTTGTTTGCAAATGATTTGATCGGACATCAATGAAAAAGACGTGCATTATGCAAAGTCCCTCAAATGATATTCATTTACGAAACGAACTTTCTCATTACGTCAAGAACATTAATATTATTGGGAATGCACACCCGTATCATCTAGGTGGATGGAAAAATTCACACGTGCACGAGGCAACAACATGCAAATTGAGACGCATGAAAGATGAGATGTGAGAAATTATGTGTGACAAAATTAGTATATATAAATATATATCCCTCCCACTCAAATCCTACTAGCTGCGAGCCCTATCATTGCACATCCTCTTAGTCGCCCATTTAATTAAAAACAATTACGATAATCTACTAAGCTCTTTCATTTTATTCAACTCAGTTGCATGGACTATGCCAAACAATTAGGGCTAAACACCAGGCCTAACCACCATCAGTATAATCCACAAGATGAATAAAAGAACCAAATAGAAACAATCCTCTAGATGCCCCACTAAAGTATCAAATGATCCAACAAACAATAGCTAAATATAAATGGTGGGGAGTTAGCATAAATTGACTAACCTACCCAACAACAAAGGAATATCAGGTCGAGTACTACTAAATAATTCAAGTTGCCTAACAACTATCAAAATACAATAGGATTAGGGAGAAGATCACCCTCCTCATATGATAGTTTGTGCTTTCTTCTAATAAAGTATCTATAAGAGAAGATTTTTGAAGGTCTACTAATGTAATCAAAGCCTATGCATACTTATATTAATTCAAGAAAATATCAAAGTGATTAGTGTGAACTTTCAAATCTAAGAAGAGCACCAGACATCTTTATATAAAACAATGCAGCCTAAAGATATTGGAGGCAACTAGCCTGTGCCAAAGCTATCTCAAAGATCATAATGTCAGCAATATACAAGATAGAGAATGATAACACCATTAGATGTTTTGCAAACAAGCAAATATTAGTCATAGTTGCTTTGCTTAAAGAAGAAATGAGGATTGACCAAAATTTATTAAATCATGCCTAAGGAGCTTATTTCAATCCATATTCTGAGTGTTTCAATTTACATATATCCGAAGAAGATGTGAAACACCAGTTAAAAGAATCATCCCAATTTTAACCTTAAGGTTTCCATGCAGAAAGACATTTTTAACATTTATTCAATAAACTTGCCATCCATACGAAGAAATAGCAATAGATATAATCATTCATTCTGTAGTTATTTTGTTGGATATTTATATAACAATTTTCATCAAAAACTAATTTTTCTTGCTTTATTCATGACCACTTGAACAATAGAAAGAGATTTAGTTGATACTTTTATATGATAAATAGTCAAAATTGAAATTCCAAAGTAAATTTTCTTTGTAAGATGTTCACCAAAAATATTCAAATTTGAGCTCATGCATTGGTGCCATGAATTATTTCTCCAAGGAGATATGCTCATGGGTCGAGCTCGGGCTCGCTATTCAATTTTTTGACACGACCCAAAACACGACCCGAACCCGACTCGGAAAAATCCGGGTTCGGGTCAACCCAAACCCGAAACGGGTCGGGTTCGGGTTGAACAAATCAACCTGTTTTAAAAATCGGGTCGGATTCGGGTTGACCCAGCAACCCGAAATTGACCCGAAAGTGACACGAAAACTCATATTTGACCCGAGAACCCGAGATTGACCCGATTTTGACCCGAAAAATAGCAATTTTAAGTCAACTTCGGGTCATTCGTGTCGGGTCGGGTTGAATCGGGTCGGGTGAACCCGACCCGCTGACCCGAATTGACACCCCTAACTCTGAGGAGCCAAGTTTGGCTTGCCTTTGAGTTGACGAGCCAAGCTCCAGTTAGCCCTAAGTTTTGCTCGACTCCACTTGCTTACACTCATGATCAAGTTGATCATTTTAGCACTCATTTATTTACAATTGACAAGTTTTGGGATTTAATATTTAAAAATTTAGTATAATTTAATTTTTAGTTTAATCAATTTTAGAAGGAAATCAAATGAATAATAAAAAAAATCAAAGAATGCCAAAATTAAATTACATGAACCTATTATTTAATAGGGGAATATCTGTATGATCATTAAAAAAAGGGGTGACTTTAGTCAAGCTTAAGTTCAGAATTGGCATTAATGGTGTAAGCGAGTCAAGTTGACTCATGAGCTAGCTCGTTTTATAAAATCATTATTTTTGACAATGCGCACAATCTTGCGTCTGAGCCTACGCCGACGACTGACCAGTCAACGCAAGGTGAAGTCTTCCCTCCAACTAGCTTCTTAGCCCACGTGCTCCAGCTTACACGCACCCAAATTACACCCAACATCACACCCAATATTTTGTCAGCATTTTTAGTATTTTTTATCTTTTGAAATATAAAAAATTGAAAATTTCTTGCTTTTAATTATCAATATAAAATTATAAATATATATTCATAAATTTAATATTTAATTAATAACAATAATAAAAAAATCACAACGAAATTCTTTCACCAAATAGAAATGAACCCACGCCATTACGATTTCTAAAGCTTTTTTGTTCTGTGCTTACGCAGTGTCTCCGTTGAGCCGCCACTTCATTTTCTCTCTTTATAGGAGTGTGGATTCTCTTCTGTCGCCGGCGAATTGAGGCGGCAGAGAAGAACGCAGGCCGCCATGAGAGAGGGGCGACTGAAACCTAAGCTGAAGCTTGCGCTCCCGGCGCAGGAGGCCTCTATTAAGAAATTCTTGTACCCGTTCTCATCCTTCTCTAAGGAGTTTGGTTCTGTGTTTGCTCAGGGTTCTGATTGGTTTGTCACTTTTGCGCATGGGTGCAGGACGGAGAGCGGAACGTTCAGGCATGAGGATTTACTGGTTAATAAGGATGGACTTCGGATTGTGTCTCATAGCGAGGAGGGCGAGGTATTCTTGGTCTGTTTTATGTTGTTTTATCCGGTTAAGTGGGGGTTATAAGCCTGAAGTCGTTTTGGGTATGGAGTTTCTCTGGCTTTTAGCCATTGATTGGGGCACTGGGTGCATTTTCTGTGTTTGATAATAGGCGCTGGTGGAAAATTTGGGTTGGGTGGGTTGATTACTGGTCTTTTTCATGCCTTGAAACCCCAGAGCAGGATAAGATTTGGCAGTGTTAGATATGATAGAATTTGAAGCATTGAATATTTCTTCTCTTTGGCAATTTTTTAATTTCTTTTAAATTAATTAAGTTTTTGTCCTACACAGAGTTCAGCAGCTTATTTTTTTCGGTTATATATTTTCAAAATCTTTGTAGAGCTGGTATGAACTGCGAAGTTCGTGTAATTTCTTTTCTGTTCTATTTGTATGGATGGAGCTAGACTAATAGTTTACGATGTGGCTTACCTTTTAGTTTATTAATTAGAAAGGAAATTCGTTTATAAATTTGGATGCAGGCTTTGCTTCAATATTTGAAGTAAGATGAAGGAGAATGAGATATATAGTCGGTATTGAAATGCTATACTAAGTACCATCTGCTTGTAGACTCAACGAGAAGCTATAAGTTCCAAATGTAAGGAAATGTAATTTTTCATGTAATTAAATACAAATAACGCATGTAATTTTGCTGATAGGGATTCAAATGGAAAACATTAAAGTGACTGTTGAGAGCCTTGAAGTCATGACAATTAAAATTCTTTTTTTTTTTATAAGTTTAACTGTTTAAGCTTATGTACCATGGTTACTTCCTTTTATATATGGCGTCAGAGGTGAGCTTGGGGATAATATCTAATATGGTATTAATGTGATGCTGAAGACTATAAAACATGTTTTTCAAGAATTCAATATATCAGCTAGGTGGACATTTGATGTTATGTAATTAACATGTATTTGAAAAGGAATAGTTACGCAGCTCTCCTTGATTTGTTTGTTGGGAGTTTGGCTCCCAACTAAGAGGTCATGGGTTTGAGTCTCGCATATGTGTTGGTGTTTTTGAAAAAAAAAAGAAAAAAAAGACAAGTTTGCATGACAGAGCGTTGGCCAATAGTTTGTGATGAAAGAGATTGAATATGGTTAAATGATTATTGTACACCCATATTTGCTTAGCTCACATTGATTGATTTATCATTAGTCAAAACTAGATCCAACCAATTGTTGATTTTGAACAGCTTAAAACACCTTTAACTCGCCAAATTTGAAGGTTCTAAGGGGCATAAGCTGCCCAGAATTGAATTTCATAAGCCACCCATGAGCAAGACCTTATTCGGATCATGACACTTAGCTATTGAACTCGCTCCTCTCACCAAGTCACCCACTTATCAAAGCTATTCCCCGAAGAAGTTGGCTACTCATCCGGAGTACTCGTATGCCGACTAAAATTCAGCAAGGAGGACTTAGTAAGGATGGTTATCCTCAATTTGAAAGTCACCCAAAGTTCCCACCTAGCAGACAACTAGTTTTAGACTTGATAGGTATACAACTAGTTACATTGAGTCCATTTTTATATACTTTCTTTATAATTTTATCATGTACGTAGCCGATTATGTAATGTTGATCTTGGCCATTACCTATAAATAGGGGTTCACAAGCCATACGCAAGCTTATAAAAAAATCTAGTACATGAAATTTAGGATGATTCCCCATACATTTGGTCCTACCTTTACCTCACTAAAATTTTTAAAAGATTTTCTTAGACGTTCTCTGCTAGAGTTGTCTCTTAGCTCGGTTTAACTCACCCTCTTTATTTTAGAGGTCAATCAAGTCACTGATATATAGGAAATATGGATGCTCGAAGATTCCATGATCATCATGATAAAATTATGATTGATCAAATATGTCGTATGGATCTAAGTGTTGGGTGATAAATAAGTCATTGATAGCCAATTTTATTATGGTTGAAAGTAGAATATTAAGAAAGATGTGTAGTAAATATGAGAATGCTAAATAGTAAAATGATTATATTAGGTAGACTATGAGAATAACACCTACTTAAAATAAGATAGATGAGAATAAACTTAATTTTTGTTGCCATGCACAAAGGAGGAAAGCAAATACACCCACAAAAAGGTTAGATAAAGTTAGTTTGGGGAGATTAGAAGGTAAAAAGGGTAGAGTAAAAGTAATGTGGATAGAAGTTGTGTAAATAGATTTGATAGAATAAATTTAACACATTAAGTAGCACTTTATATGAATTAATGGGGAACGAAAATTCTTAAAACAGACCCAAAATAATCATGATAACTTTAATGATAAAATGATTAATAAAAGCCTAGAACATACGAGTGAAAAAAGAGAGAATAGAGTATGTATGGAGTCCGAATGTGAGGTATTTGTTTGGGCTTAATGTTAATAAATGGTTAAAGGTCCCATTAAACTGGTAGTTTTGATGAAGGGTTAAGAAAATCATATTGCAACATGGTGACTCTTGATTTAATTTAAAAAAAAAAAATTAGGGTGGAAATTTGGTTGACGTTTATGGTTAATCTGTTCAATATGTTCTTTTTATATATGATTTTTTAATGACAATGGTCTGTTTCATTGGCTTTTTATTTTATTTAAATTGTTTGGCAATCATAAATATTATGTTAGTTTGTGTGGAATCAGATTGTATCGATCAATCAGGTTATATTGTTATCTCAGACCTCAAGTCAATTTCTCGTGCTCGCTGGGGGTTACAGGGGGGGGGGGGGTCCTCCCCCTGCTTGGGTTTGGGTGCTTTGCACCCTTTTTTTTCTTTTATACAACGTTCTGGTGCTGCAAAATTTTTTTTGGGAGAAATGACAGAGAGCGGAGTTCCACAAAGCTGTCAGGCAGATTGGAGGCAGATCATTGAGCATCTCAACACTCCAAATTGGCGTCAGAACACTTCGAGGCGGATTGAATATTTTTTCTTTCTCGTTTTTCTCAAGGGTGGCGTCCCTTGGTGGTATATACATGTTTTTCCCTTTTGTTTAGTTTATGTGAATGGTGTAAGAGAAGAGAAGTAAGGAGAGAGTGATAGAGAAGAGAGATATGCACTTATTTCACCCAATTTTCATAATAGGTTTCTTGGTTTGGTGCGACTTGGTGATTTTTTTCATATTTCGGATTTTTCCACATTAAATCCTTGTATCCTTTTCTTTCTTCTGCAATATATTTTTTTTTATTTGTTTTGGTGAGTGGTTTACTTTCACATCCCCAACATATTATAGTAATTTTTTATTATGGTTAATGCAGAATGCAGAAACGTGCATCCTTTGAACAGTCTGCCAATGATTTCTTTGAAGTAGCACTTCCAGATCAATGTTTTTATGCTTTTTCTATATATCTTTAGTTATCCCTATGTAATCTGTGTTCTTTGCTTTCTCCACTTTAGCACATACATTTAAATTTTTTTCTTTTAAAAAAAAAATTCAGGTGCATCTTATTAGACCATTGGACAATCAGTTGGCATTAGCTGACATGGACATAGTTAAAGTGATTGGGAATGGTAGTGCTGGAATAGTACAATTGGTTCGACATAAGTGGACTGGCCAGTTTTTTGCTCTTAAGGTATGCAGCAGTGTTATGATTTGTTACACTTAACTGTTCTTAAATTTTTCTGCATTTTTTATTTCATTATTTACCTTTTATGTCCATTTCTGTGTATTGGGTTTTGTTTGTTTGTCTTTTGTTCTTTGTGTTCTATTGTTCTCATTGAACAACACTTTTAAATGGCTTTCTTGCCCTCTTGTTTCTATACTCCATTGAATTGCAGTTTTCATTTGTTATGCTTATGGGACTTTTGTTTTTTTAATTAAAGTTGCCTTGTTATCAAAATTTCCGCTAGCTCGAAGTTGCAAGTCAACTTCTACCTTTTTTGACTGAGTAGTAGTGTCGCACCCTATTTCACATATTGGATTTTCAAATTTTTGGGTGAGCAAATTGCAATTAATTAGAACCATATGATTTGCAAATTGCATACACCATGATACCTTATATCAAGCAACCATTATAAGCATCTCCACCACCAATTAAAAAAAAAAGATATTTGACTTAATCTTATTGTAATTGTAAATTCATTTGTTGCTTGACTTAATCCTATTGTAATTGTAAGTTCTTTGGTTGCTCCACAATTACTTATAATTCTAATCAATATCCCATAATTTTAACAACTAAAATGCCCCTTAGATGCAAACCAATAAGCTATGATACACAATAAACTTCTCTATATACTTTCTCATTATCAATTAAAATCATATGAAGATTCTTCACTATCAATGTTTTTTTTTTTCATTATCTTAGTAAAAAAGCCATCATCATAGTGGATCTTCTTTACAATAATTCAAATCGACTCTTTAATACTACTTGATTTTTTTATCTGTCTATTTTCAATTATCCTTTCCCACAAACTTCATTATGTGCCTCATAAATTTGATTTTCCTACAAGTAAGATATGATTCCCTCTATAAGTTTGATTCCCCTAACTTCGTATGACTATTAGGTCCATTCCTTTACAATGAGGATTTGATTTCTTATTTAAGTTTTATTTAGCTTGATTTTTTTAGCGAATTCCTTAGAAAATTATTGTTATTATTTATTCCATGTTATTATATTTGGCCGAAAGGTTTATAACATTGACTTATCTGTGTAGATTATACAAATGAACATCCAAGAGAAAGTACGCAAGCAGATTGCCCAGGAGTTGAAGATTAACTTGTCATCACAGAGTCCGTACGTTGTGGTGTGTTACCAATCTTTTTATGACAATGGTGCTATATCAATAGTCTTGGAATACATGGATGGTGGCTCTCTGTCAGACTTTCTAAGGAAAGTTGGATCGATTCCTGAGCCATATTTGGCAGCAATCTGTAGTCAGGCTAGTATTCAATTGACTTTTTCCTTGTTAGTATTGAATTTTCAGCTGAAAGCTCACTCTTCATTCATTCAGGTACTTCGAGGATTAATATTTCTCCATCATGAAAAGCATATTATTCATAGGGACTTGAAGCCATCAAACATACTTATCAATCACAGAGGGGAAGTAAAGATATCTGACTTCGGTGTGAGTGCTGTTTTGGCAAGTTCTTCAGGTCTAAGAGATACCTTTACTGGGACTTACAACTACATGTCTGTGAGTTCAAGCTTGAATCTGTTTCTTTTTATATTAAGAAATAACTTGATTTCTACCTGCTTCATTATCAATGTTCTTTCTATAAACTATTATTCTTGTATTATATTACTTGTCAATCATAAAGCTTGGGATTAATATTAAAATATTATCTCCTTTGCTAGCCAGAAAGAATCAGTGGAGAGAAGCATGGTTATCCAAGCGACATATGGAGCTTGGGTTTAGTTATGCTTGAGTGTGCAACAGGTCAATTTCCCTATCCGCCAGTTGACAGTTTCTATGAGATTCTTGAAGCTGTTGTCGATAAGCCAGCTCCGTTTGCCCCTCCAGACCAATTTTCTGAAGAGTTCTGCTCATTTATTTCCACATGGTGAGTATGTGTTTACTCCTGAACGAGACTAGCTTGTTTGGCATTTCAGAAAGTCTATCTGGCTTTTCAAATTACTCTACTTGTTTTTGTTGCTTTTTTTTTTTTGAAAGGGCGTTATCTTCATCTATTTTTGTGTAGTTTGAGCTTATTTTGCATGCATATTACTTTTTTTATTTTCCACCATATAAAGGTTTTGATTTCATTTTTTCAGCTGATTTGGAGTTGCATATGCATTTGTTATATTAAACTTTCATACAGTTTCAGCTGATTTTTATCTTTTCAAGGATTTGATGGTAGGAATTTAACAGCATACGGAGAAATAGCATTAAAAAATTTAGTATTTTTTTAAAGTATGACTAATTTCTATTATTTTTCGTAAGCTTTGACTAAATCTGCCTCGTGTTGTCCATCTTTGGGCTATTTTTATGTTAAAGTAAACAACAGTACGGGGCTAACGTGCATCTCAACTAGGTAAACATCATGCAAAATATAGTTGCAATCATTTTTGTAGACTGGCATTTTTTACTTTTCTTTTCGGTCCAGATAAAATGTGAGTAATATAATCCCTTAACTAGAATTTTATCTTATGAGTTGTTCACTAATTTAATGATGAATGCCCCTTTCCTTTCAAGTATTGGGTAGCACCGTAGCAAACAAGTCTCTAATAGCTAAATTTAGCATGTTGGAAATTAAAGTGTCAAGATAGATGTTGTGTAATAAAAAAGATAGATATGTGACAAAATTAAAAAGGGCAAGTGGAAGAATGATTATATTAGAGGAATGGTTAAATTATCATCTATTGAATACGCGTTATTTGAAAATAGACTTAATTGATTTGGACATGGATACTGAAATATACATTTAGATAAAATTAGCGTAAAATTATTGGGGAAAAAAGGGTTGAACTTATGGAGATATAGCTAGAAGTTCAAAAACGTTTGCAAAAAAAAAGTTTTAGCGCATCTTTCAACACTCCAAAAACCAATAAATTGTAGCTCTTAAGCTTCCACACGAGGCATGGAGAGCACTTAAGAGTGCATAGGGCTCCCTATTAAAAGATGATTCTAAGCTTCAGAAAGAGTTATGAAGTGCGGGTGCTAGAGAATAGGCTCCCATGGTTATTGAAAATGAATGATACAAGAGCAATTGTATTCTAAGACTGATTGCAGATCTAAAACACTCGTTCACAAGTACTTCATGTTGTTGTGGGACTAGCTAAAGTTGGTTCTAATGGAGCTTCACATGGATTGTGAGAGTAGAGCAAGATTTGACTCCATTGGCCAACGGGGGAGTAATTGGACCACAAGGATACTTTTTGAGGGAGCTTAGACAAAGAATTTGCGAATGTACTTACACTAATAAAAATTAGCAGATATTTTGTTGCTGATATTTTACTGTGGATCATTAGCCATAAGTCTTCAACCTTATTGATAGAAAATTTGTGAAGGTTACTAAGAACTTGGGTTTGATGTTAGCTCTCCGGCCTATTAATCTGATGCACATTGGAAGTAAAAACAGCAAATAAAAGAGGAGAACAACGTAGGAATAAAGGTAGGGCTGATTTTCCTTTTTCTCCAATAATAAAGCAAGATACAATTGATCTACTCATCTACTATTTGAGAGATAGATTAGCTCTTCCACAAACCCTAGACACCGCTAGGAACAAACAACAAGTACTAGGAAAATAAACTCAGCAATATCATAAACTAAACCCTAGACAACTCCCCCTTAAAGTCTTAGAACACAATAATATAAATAGAACCTTTCTAATCAGCATAAACATAATTTAGAAATTTTTTCTAAATAATTAGGCTCTTCCTAATTAGGTTGAACATAATTTAAGAAACATTCATAATCAATTAAACCCTTCCTAAACAACATAAACACAATTAGGAAATTTTTCTAAACAATTCTCCCTTAATTAGGAACCTTCCTAAATAGCTTCCCCTTGATTCCTCTGCCTTATATAATGAATAATAGTTCCCTAGGCCAAACAAGGTGCCCCCCCCAGCCCGGCGTATCAATATTCCCCTCCCAAAGAACCATCTTGTCCTCAAGGTGGAATGAAGGAAATTGTTGCTGAAGAATATTTTTCTAGTGCTTCCTCTTATCAATTAATTCTAAGAGGGTAGCCGAAAATGTGTTTGTGCTCCCAGGATCTAGATAGCGTTCAAAATTCTATTTATATTCCCTCACAAAATCAACATGCTTATTCACAACATTTGCAGAGAAACAAGCCCAACAAAGTGATGCATTACCAACACCAAGAAGCTGCTCCTCAGGGAGAGTAATGAATCTCGAGCCTATTTTCGATAGCAATGCCTCAAGTTCATTGGCCAAGTTTGGGTGCTTGTTCTTGAGAGCTTCCATTATGCCCTTTTGCAACATCCAATGTACTAGCAGTAGAAACAACCCAACCAAGTGCAGCATTACACCTAAATGAAAGTTGGTTGTTTTCTTGAGCATCTGCAGCTTGTGGAGGTTGTTGGATGAGTATAAAGTAAATTCAAGTGAATATTTTTTTGTTTGATATAAAATAAATGCTGTGTAAAGTTCAAAGATTGTGGCGACCAACAGTGTTCTACGACGGTAGTGCTGTCCAGCGGCCAGCTATGGTGGTGTCCCGTTGAGGTTTGCGGTGGTGGTGTCTAGTGGAGGGTGGCTGCGGCATCTGACGACGAATAGAGGTGGTGGTGGCTGGCTGCGTGTGCCAGCGGCGCTGGCTTGCTGTGGGTGGTGGCGGTGGCTGCCAGTGTGGCCGGCGGGAGCGGCGCTGGCTGGCTGTGAGTGGTGGCGGTGGTTGCCAGTGTGGCCGGCGGGTGGGTGGTTGAGGTTGGTGGCGGTCAAGCAAGTTTGCTTGCGGTGTAAGTGGTTCTCGCTCAAAACTGTGCTAATTTAGTTTACCTCAAAAATGAACTAGAATGTTTTACAGTATATTTACTTTATATTCCTTTTTCATCTAATCAAACACCAATATTTTCAAAATCTCTGCACTTGGAATACTTTATACTCATTTTACTTTCAACCAAATAGCCCCTTAAAGTAAAATGAATGCAATGTAAATTAAAATTATGGTGGTGGTTGGCGACGATGGTGGTTGGGGGCGTTAGCAGGCGGCAATGGTGACAGCTGGCAGAAATGGTCAATAATCAAAACAGGCAGATGGCGGTGGCGGTGCTTAGTTGATCAAATGAGGGTGGTGGCCAGGAATGGTGGTTTTGGCTGACGTCGGCTGATAGCGATGCCTCGTAGTGGCGGATTGTGGCGCCCGACGGCAAGTTATGGATGGAGGTGGCTGTGGCGGCAACTGACAACGACGACCAATGGAGGTGGTCGGCGACAAGGTAGCTTGCTTGCATTGAAAAGAAATTCGCTCAAAATTGACCAAGTTTACAATTCATCAAAAATAAATTGAGTTAAAAAGGAATTCACTGGAATTTTATAGTACATTCCTTTTCATCCAACTAAACACCAATATTTTCAAAACATCTAAAATATTTTACACATACTTTACTTCAAACCAAACAACCCCTTAATATTTTTCGATAAGTGTAAACTTTTATATTTTCATCTGCGTGTCATTGGAATTGTGCTCTATGTATATTTTCTAAATTGAAGTTTTTTCATCTTCAATTCTATTTCTGCTGAAGTGGCACTGAAATCAATGTGCTTGATTCTCTTGTGTCTTAACTAAATGAAGAGTACATCGACTATCACTAAAAAATGTTGAACTATTTTGGTTCAAATGTAAGTCCTCAACTGTGCCTCCTAACTGAATAGATTCTTCTATGGCTTCAAAAAAAGTATAATATACTCCACCTTTGTAGTATATAAAGTAATTGTAAAAGCTAAAGACAAGCCTTCAAACTAATGCCACATCTAGAGAGACTAAGGACATACCTAATTTGATATATTCTCCTATCAGGATCATCATATACCTAAATAAAAAAATCCCACGACATTGTAATAAGATTTGTTCTCTTATATATATCAAATGATAATCTATAGTGGCTTCAAAATACCTCAAAATTCATTTCATTGCCCCTAATGAGCTCAAGCAATCCTATCCATTTACTTACAACACTACGTGCATGTCAAATGTCCAAACGTGGCCATTCCACACATGATGTTTCTAGTTGCAGTAGCATAAGACACTCTAGTCATATACTAGTGTTCTTGTAACTAAGGAGAGTAACCTATTGACTGTAATATCCAAAATTTCAGGTAAAAATGTTAAAATTCTCATAATAGTTTTGAGCTTTTATTTTTTTCTTAAAATAATAATAATAATTTTTAAATCACTGCTAATTTAATTACTATGAAAGTATTTAACATTTACTGTAATGAGATTTAATTATAAGTATTTTTTAATTGGAATAACTTTAATACTAATTATTAGTATGTACTGTTAGTTAATAAAAATGTTAGCCCTAAAGCAATTTTAATATATTAATTAATGGTGTTTCATACTCCATTACAGCACTAAGGTTATATTAATTAATATTCCGTTTCCCTCTGTCAGCCACTAAATTGAGTTTGCATTGGTTGATCACAATCAAATGGCATGGAAAGAATTTTCCCTATTTCCTATTATCTGAACCGTGGCTTATAAGGACTGAAATGACGTGATATAGAGCAGTTATTCTAGAGATTTTTATTCCTTATCCGCTCTGTCACGCAAGCCCTTTCTCTATTCTAATTTCACGGAAGCCAACAGAGGGAGTGAATTCGACGCAGTGTTGTATATGTAATGGGCGGCACAGTGGAATTTTTCTAAAGGATCCGTAAGCATGCAGGCAGCTTAGTGATTTGGAGTGATAAGTATGTGTAGTGAGCAGCACTGTGCAGTAAAGCAAAGTTCGGCACAGTGTAACATAGGAGTTTGGTTGTGCAGGAAAAGGTGGGTAAGGAAAAAAAAATATTGAGACTGTTTGGCATTGGAGTAAGAAGCAAAGGAAAGCACTGTGGGGTGTTACATTGACAAACAAAAATGACTAGCTTGTGAAGAAGTGACAATTTATAGTCTGCAAGACAAATATTTCTTATACCTTTTTACTACATCTTTTTGTGTTATAAATTAAATAGTTATTTCCTATTATCTGAACCGTGGCTTATAAGGACTGAAATGACGTGACATAGAGCAGTTATTCTAGAGATTTTTAGTTGGATGAAAAAGCAAAGTGAATTGGAGTGATAAGTATGTATAGTGAGCAGCACTGTGCAGTAAAGCAAAGTTCGGCACAGTGTAACATAGGAGTTTGGTTGTGCAGGAAAAGGTGGGTAAGGAAAAAAAAAGTACTGAGACTGTTTGGCATTGGAGTAAGAAGCAAAGGAACGTACTGTGGGGTGTTACATTGACAAACAAAAATGACCAGCTTGTGAAGAAGTGACAATTTATAGTCTGCAAGACAAATATTTCTTATACCTTTTTACTACATCTTTTTGTGTTATAAATTAAATAGTTATCTTTGCATTTTTTATTATCTCTGTCCCTACAATCTTATTGCACCATGATCAATCCTGTCAAATGTTGCACTCAAATTAACTTTCAATTTCTATATTTGTGTTATCTCTCTATTTGCAATCATTAACATACCCGATCACATATGCAAAGATTCATCTATAAACTGCTTATAATACTCATAACTGTCAAATAGGTTTCTCTTAAACTTATGAATGGTATGAAATGATCTAACTTCTTGTAACACTAGTTAGGAGATTGTTTCAGATCATATAGAAAATTCTTCAATAGGCACACCAAATCTTCTTTTCCTATAGCTTTAAATCATGATAGTTATTGTATGAGAATGTATTCATCTAAATCATCATGTAGAAAAAATTATCTTCAAGTCCAAAGTATTCTGATGCGAAGTAGATGCAGAACTTGAAAAAAAGCTCAACTGAATATTCAATTTCAGCAAAACAGAAGTTGGTAGTAAGTAAACGATGTAAAAGAACACTTAAGAACATTTTTTTATTGGATTGTATATGAAGGAAAAGACAAGACAACTCCCTCTTAAATAGTCCTAGAACACAATAACATAATTAAAACATTCATAAACAATTTAAACATAATTTAGAAAATCTTGCTAAACAATTAAGCATAATTTAGAAAACCTTCTTAAACAATTAAATATAATTTAGAAAACCTTCCTAAACAAATTAATATATTTTAGGAAGTCTTATGTATTCTAGAAAGTATTAAAAAATATTCAATTAGAAAGCATTAAAAATGACTTTTTTTTTAATTAGATTTAAATAAGAACTTAACTCTTAGGTTATGTGCATAACGAAGAAAAAAATTCAGGTAGCCAATTCCACATATTCTACTTGCCATAACGCAACATTCATGACTTTTGCACAATTCACGGCTCTATGGGATGTTACTCAAACCTTCAATAGGATCCATTAAACAAATTGCACCTAGCAAGCCACGGCCCATCTGATGATCTACTAGCACATTTATGGCCCATTAGGAATCCAACAACATGCTAGTCTCATTCCAACAGAAATGTCCCAATTAGTCACAACAAAGAATTCCAACTTCACAGCCTGATTTAGGCTTCGTTTGAGACGGTTTTTTTACTGCTTCCTAAAACAGCTTTTTAGTACAAAAGTTTTAATATTTGTACTAAAAAGCTATTTTAAAAAGCAATAAGAAAGTTGTCCCAAACGAAACTTTAGGTGTGTTGGTTCCTTGGTTCAGTCGTTGATTCTCTCTGGTTTGCCATTTCATTTTTTTTTTATTTGCTCCTTTGTATGTCACCTTTAAAACTGGTTTTGATGGACTTTTCGTGCTGAATTGTTACCGATAGCCGTTTTATCATTCTCACTGATTTCATTTATTATTGCAGTGTACAGAAGAAGCCCGAGAACAGACAATCTGCACAGTTGTTACTGGTATGTTAACTGTATCCCATTCATCTTCTATCATCCTTCTATTTCTCTGTTCTTAAAGGTCATTGAGCTGCTACTTTTTTCATATTTTGTTCAGAAACACCCTTTCCTGATCAAGTATGACGGTTCGACCATTGATCTTGCTTCGTATTTCACCAGTGCTGCTGCTCCTTTAGCTACCTTCGGCGACCAGATATGATTGCTTCATTTTTTGGCGTTAGATTTCTTTCTTAGAGACTACCATGGATTTCATATCATCAAATGCGCCAAAAGCATGCCACACAAAACAGAAGTAGCTTTTGGTTGAGCACAGTTGCTTGCTTTTTTTTGGAGGGATTATTACATGCGGAGTCCGAATGCATAGAATCTTTCGGTTTTGTGATTGTGAACGGTAAAAGTTCAGTGGTGAACAGTAAATGCACTTTATTGTTCACAGTCACAAAACCGAATGTTTCTCTATGTCCGAACTCCGCACATAATAATCTCTACTTTTTTTTACTGCAATTCTTGGGTTCTTCTACACTGTATCTGTATGCGATCGAGAGATGCTAAGCCTGGAGAGTCATTGCAGTGATTCTATGTATGGATTGGGAGGCTGAAATAATGGTGTAAGATAACAAATTTAAGGTTTTTGAGATGTAAGAAATGTTATAGATGTGATAAAGGCTTCGTTTGGGACAGCTTTTTTGTTGCTTTCTAAAACAACTTCCAGTATAAAAAATTCATGAATTAGAAAATTTATACTAGAATCGTTTTAAAAAACAGTACGAAAACTGTCCCAAACGAAATCAAAGTCTCTGTTTTATCTGAAGAATTGTTACTTCTCTCAGATGTATAATATTGCTTTTAACTTTTTTTTTTTTAATGGTATGGAAAAGCATATTGACCATTTGTAAACAATGTTGGTTGGCGTTCTGTATTGTTTTCAGGTTTTGTACAGTAATTTGATCATCCTAATTATATGTAATTAGCAGATGGGTATCTTGGTGGTGGCTCCTAGCCTTCTCTGAATTCCTTAAGCATTATTAGAGGTGTCAATATTTGACATGACTCAAAAATCCGACCCGAAACGGGTCGGGTTTGGGTTCAACATTTCGACCCGTTTCAAAAATCGGGTCGGGTTCGGGTTAACCCTTTGACCCGAAAATGACTCGAAATTGACCGAAAACCCGATTCTTACCCGACAACCCAAGATTGAGCCGATTTTGACCCGTTTTATCCAAAAAAGAGATAGACCCATTTTTGACTCGAAAACTAGCAATTTTTTGTTGGAAACGGGTCATTTGGGTCATGTCGGGTTGACCCGAATCCGAAGTGGGTTGGGTTCGGGTCCAGAAACCTACCTGTTTTCAAAAACGGGTTAGGTTCAGGATGATCCGAATAGTGCCGGGTCAGTTTCTAGTTCGACCTGAACCCGACCAGTGACTCGAAATTGACACCCCTAAGCATTATTATATATATGTGTGCATTGAAGTATTTTTGGGATAAAAATATTCTTATATTGGAATATTAGTAAATGAGCCGACGGCGTGGAATACAACATTATATAAGTAAATATTAAAATTTAGATGTTAGATGTATAAATAAGTACGATATGTATATGAATTTTGTTATTTTTTATCAAGATTTGAATGCATTCATCATTCCTTCCAACATTGCAATCAACCTAAGTTATAAAGGAAGAAGATGAGTTCAAAAACTAAGTTTAAGCAAGTGCTTCAAGCAATAGGTTAGAATGTGAATTGAAATATATAAAATGAAGTTTGAGTTTGGTTCCAATTTATTTTGAACTTTGGTCAAATTTAAAAATTTGGGTTTAGATAAGGTTCATTTATCATATTATATGTTCAAATATTGTTTGAATTTGTATTTTGAAACTAGGATTTGACCATTAACTTTGAAAGAGAGGGCAAAGTAAGGTTTGAATTAAATTTGAACAATATTTGAATCTCATCGTATATGATTTGAATTTTGTTCGAACTTGTTTTTTAAACCTAGAATTTGACTAGTAGTTTCAAAATAGAGATTCAAACTTAAGACATGAGACTCGAATCATGTTTGAGCTTCTTTTTAAAAACCTAGATTTTAACTAGCTAGTAGTTTCAAAGCAGAGATTCAAAATTATGTTCGAATCTTATTTGAATTTTATTGTAGCCTCATTTGAATTGAGTTCAAATAGTATGTTTGAATATTTGTTTTAGAGCGTAGATTTAGAAGTTAAAACCGAGTTTGAATAATATTTGAAACTTAGGATCAAACCTAATTTTTCATCATCATTTTTAAGAAACTAATTCATTTAATTTATTTTGCTATTTATACAATGTCAAAACTAATTATTTTTGTGGAGAGGCATTAACTTGCTAGAGTCACATATATAGTTATAGGTTATGGATAAGTAATAAAGTAATTTGAAGTTATAATCTTTTTGAGAAAGCCAAGCAATCCTTCTTCGTGCAGATCTTCAATGCTCCTGATTTGCAATTCTCCAGGGTTGGACCAGTCGATTCAACTGTGAATCGGTCATATGATCAATGCCACGCCACGGGATTTAAAGTGAAAGAATTTATTTTATTTTTCTCTTTAGTATCTGTTCAATTCATTCAATTTCTTTTATCTTTTATTTAATAGTCATATCGATAAACATCCTGTTCATTTTGACATCTCGAGTTAACTAATTGCATTAAAGAAAATCAACAAATAGAGAAAAATATAATTCACATTATTATAGTATTCAATATTTACATTTTTTCGATAGAGTCCAAAATAATATATATAATAGCAATCATAGGCTACAAAAGTAAATTAAAAGATCCGAAAAAAACATAAACATAATTACAGCATAGCTTCAATCCACAAGCTCGTTATCTTCACTAAATCATGTAAAATCAAGTAATGAGCAAATAACCTAACAAATATTTAAAATCATATTGGTACATCATATCAGATTCAAATTAGTAGCAATATTATATTCTTGTATAACTCAATCATATCAATCATTTCAATACATATTATCATATAGTCTTATCATATCATGTCAAAGTACAACACTTTTCAACCTATTAACAGTTAGCCATTTTCACTACTTTGACCCACGTATTTTTATACATATATTTAATATGTGAAATTGCAATAAAATCATATAATATTATTCAAACTGATTAAATATATAGCATATCAAAAGTTATACATTGAAAGATTACGAATCAGTAGATAATGCATTTTTTACAGATTTATGATAAATAAATCTCTTAAAATCAAAATCATCAAAAACAAAAGTAAGAGGATATGCATTTACAAAGATTATAACACTTTCACAACAAAAGTGACAGATGAAAATGACTAAAAATTGTCTCTCTCCCCTCATTCTCTATTCTTCCTTTTCTTTCTAAGCAAGTCACGATCGAAATGGGATAAGTAGTGGTGCTAGAATACTTAGTGTTTAGGTTTAGAATAAAAAAAAATATAAAAACATGGTTAGTGGCATAACGCTACAAAACCTAGCGTTGCATGTCAAATTGAGAATTAGTATAGAACAGAGACTTAAATGCCATAATAAAAATTTTTGGCGTCGTTGTTCTCTCAAATCTAGTGTCGCAACACTCATAAGTACAATGATAAAGCGCTCCAGTCCAAACATAAAAATAAAAATAAAAATAATATTTTGAAACACTTTTCATTTTTTAGTTGGTACAATTAGTTTGATCCTCAAATTGACCGGTTCGATTCATAATATATTTAAATAATTTAATATGATATAAAATATTTTATTTACTAATTAATTGAAATATAACATACTTTATTTAATATTATTCGAAAGACTTAAATTATAAATATCAAGTACTAGCAAATCATACCCATATGATTTCACCATCTATTTCACCATCTCATGTGGACTCCTAATTCACGATAACAAGAAAGTTATATAAACAATACAATATAAATATTCAAAGTGATGTGGGACTAAACAACCAGTAAAAATTTCTACAATGTGTGTCTGGTGGATTGCTCTTCCACGAAGATTTTTCGAAAAAGTTTGTACATAATATTCAAATAAAGAATACTTATAATAATTATTAAATTTATAATAATTTATGTATTATAATTATATTAAAATAAATTAAAAAATTTTTAAGTTCTATTTTAAGTATAATTATCCTTTTTTTTTGACATTTAGGTCAATTAAGACCATACTAAGAAGACTCGAATTTAAGACATTTTAATTGATGACCTAAGCTCCCACCCAATAGACCTAAATAAATTGTGGTGTAAATTTATCTTTCATACCATTTTTTACTAGTTGAAAGAATAATTAATTAACTTTTTTAATTCCATAAATAAAACAACAAGTCCCCTTTAGCATCAGCAATTTTAAAATATCTATCTTCAACATCAACAGGCGCAAGGATCGTCCTGAGCTTCTCCATCTACTCTCTCTCTCTCTGACTCTGTCTCCATCAATCTGATGGCACATCGACTTCTACGCGACGCCCAGGCCGACGGGTGGGAGCGCTCCGACTTTCCGATCATCTGCGAGTCCTGTCTCGGTGATAACCCTTACGTTCGAATGGTACGTTCTTACTCCATCGCTTCTCTTTTCTTTGATCCCGTCCTCATCTCTTTCTTCGACAAAGAATAGTCGAAGGTTGGGACAAAGCCCTGATTATCTGTGGCATGCCGAGCGAAAACCTAATTTTCCTGCTTCTGTTTCTTATGCTAGATTTTTAATTTGGGGATTTACATACATACCTTGCTCTAGGTCTAAGTTGTCCCCGTCATTTTTGGAGGACTTCGTTGTTCGAATCATGGTTTTATATTTTGGTGTTTATTTAATTAAGAGGCACCATCTCCTCTGTAGTGTGGTTTTTAACTGCTTGCTTGCGATCGCTCTCATTTTTCACTCTATAATTAAGCGCATCCATGCGTTTGAGGTGAAATACTGAACTGGCCTTTCTAGTGCCTTTACTACTGTCGTTGCAGGGTTTATTTCAATGTATTAAAGAACTTCATTAGTTGGAATGGCTTAGCTCTTCAGGCTCATCCATTTCTGTTCGGAGAATATTATTAGGTTTCTAAAATTTTAAATTGTACTTCTTAAAGTTTTCTTGGATGAGGATCATTATTTAATCTTATAACCGTACACGACCTATTTCTCTCTGGTTGTGCAGACCATAGCACACTATGACAAGGAGTGCAAGATTTGCACCAGGCCTTTCACGGTCTTCAGGTGGAGGCCAGGCCGAGATGCGCGCTTTAAGAAGACTGAGATTTGCCAGACATGTAGTAAGCTGAAAAATGTATGTCAGGTTTGCCTCTTGGATCTGGAATATGGTTTGCCCGTACAGGTTCGCGATACTGCACTTGCTATCAATTCCAATGATGCCATTCCGAAGAGTGATGTTAACAGGGAGTACTTTGCTGAAGAGCATGACCGAAGGGTATGTTGCTCAAGCTTGTTTCTCATTTCCTTGAACTTGGGTTTGAGCCAATTGTTTAGGAATCCATTTGTCACAGTCATTTTTCTACCTAATGGATTCCTACTCTGCATTCCCTGCTATATTTTTAAAGCTGTGGTCTAATGTTTTAATTTCGAATTGTTTGTCTACTATTTTTTTGTAGCTTAGATTAGTATGGTTTTTATGCTTGGCTAAATCTTTAGTGCATGGAACCTGGCTGTACAAATTAAGAATGACAAAAGGTTAGACCTGTGGTTCCATAAAAATGGCGTGCTTCATCTCCTTTTCCATGTGAGTGAGAGTAAAAGATTAAAGTCAAAAGTTTGAAATGCATTATATCTAAACCATGTGGGAAATGAAGAGCAAATCAAAGACAAATAGATTTATAAAGACTCAACTCCTTCAGGAATATATATCTGTTTCCAAAGCTTATTTTCAAAGTTTCTCTATTACCTTCTAGTTCTACGTTGCCACAAAGCTTCCATTTCAATTGAACAGGTCAATGGTCATTTATAAGGCTCTATTTGACCCAAACATTAATCTTTTTCTAAGCTCAAGATACACCTTTGAAGTAGATGATGTTACTGCCATGCTTTCTCAATCGCCTGAGTCTAATTGAAATAGACATTACTCAAAAGTATGAAAGGGAAGTCTAGATTGGCTTATAAACAATGGGACACTGTTAAGATGATATGTTTGAAGGAATCCCTTTATACTGCTATCATTGGACAATTCATGGACATGAAATTTGTAAGTATCATCACTAGTCTTATCCTAACTATTTGGGTTAGTTTTATGAATTCTTATTTTTCATTTGTTTTGTTGAGTGTTGTTTGAGACATTTAGCACATTCTTCGTAACCATTTCGAAAAATTTTATCTAGTAACACATAAGACGCTAATTTTATTTACTCATGAGTACATTTTCTACCATTTGGTATGTTCAAATCACCTAAATCTATTTTCAATTATTTCATTTTCAATAGATGTCACTTTAACATTTCCTCTAATAGAATTATTCCTTAATTTATCCTTTCTAGTTTAGGTATACATCCATATTAACATTTATTATTTCTTGCACGCATAACTTATTTATGGTTTTTATTGCCTAACATTTGCATTCATATAACATCAATGACCTAATTGTTATTACATAAAATTGCTTTTAAGTTTTAGTGATATTCTCTTATCACACAATATCTTATTGTACTTTTCAATTTTAACAATCTAGCCTTAACTTTAAATGTTATATTTTGCTTATTTATAGTTTCATTCTCCTATACAACCAATCTAAGATACTTAATTTTATCACATTAGGGAACCACTTTTTCTTCTGGTAATATTGATTCATAATTGTCAATATTGCACCTACAAAAATTACATATAATATATTTAAGTCTTTGTTGTAATTCTATATATTTTATCATCTAGATATTTTCTCTAAGAAAAGGACCAAAATGGTCTCTCTACTATTTTTGAATGAGCAACATGGTCACAAACTATGTAAAAGGGCCAATTTAGTCCCTAGACTCGTTTAATAAGGACTAAAATGGTCTTGCCATTCTACTTGGAGGCAAACAAGTTAATGGAAAACCTATTGGATCAACAAAGAACTCACAAAGCATGTCTAACTCTTAGGATATTTTGAGAATTTATTTTATTTTTATTTTTTAGTAAACTTACCCTAGTCGAAATGAAGAGGCGAGTGCGAGCATAGCTTCCCTTGAGTAGATGATGAGCGGGACTACCATGTAGAGTTGGAGGAGGGTGAGCAATAACGGAGCTTACTCTCCTGAGCGCCGCACTGACAAGACTGTTGGGTAGCTTCCTCATACTTTACAAAGCTCCTCGAGCAAAGTAGATGAGTAGAGGATGAAGATTCCCCCTTAGCAGTGATTGAATGACAAAGAGGAGCAAAGATTCCACCCAAGCAGCAAAAAAGAGGAACGTGGGAAACATCCCAAGTAGCAATGACTGATTGATTTTAATTACTTTTTATGTTAATTGTATTAATTTGAAATCTATAATATTTATTTTAACTTAAATAATATGAAGTAATGATATTTTTATTTTATCGATGAAAAATTAAGCATTTTAAAATTTCAAGTAAAGAAAACAACAAATTTTGTTCTTAGTAAAAAATGATTTCAATCAATAAAAAGTTGTGAAGTTAGCTGTAAATTGATTTAAAATTAATTTGTTCTCTCTAAAAAATTATTTCAATAAAATTAATATGCAAATTTAAAATTTTAATATTATAGAATAAAAAGTATAAACTCATTGTCATGGTTTTGAAAATCGGACTTGAATAGCTATGAACCAGTCATATGAGCGGCTCGATCCGCCTTAAAATCGGCCCAGCATTAAACTGGTGTAAACCAGTTTGAACTGTCGGTTCAACCGGTCAACCGTTGAATCGATCCCAGTTTTTAAGAACTAGTCGGTTCAATTGATATCATATTTAAATAATTTAATTTAATATAAATCATTTAATAAAATATTAATTAATAAATTAATTTAAATGTAACCTATTTAAATTTGATATTAAGCCTAAATTTATGTAATGATTATTTGCCATCTAAGTACCAACCCAGCATGCTCACATGGTCCCACAACCCCATGCAAGTTCTTAACACATAAAAACAAGAGAAAAGCTATATAAACAAAACAAAACAAAACTCCCAAGTGATGTTGGATTAAATAATTTAGTTAAAATTTTCTACTTCAAAACGCATATATTAGATATTTTTAAACATATTTTTAATTATTTTTTAAGAATGAGAATAATATTTATTTTATTGGTTAATTATATTTAATTTTTTCTCTATTTAATTTTTATTTTTTAAATATGCATTATTAAAAATTAATTTTTATCTATTTATTAATTATAAATAATCTAACATTAATGATTTATAGATGTAAAATTATAATGTGAATTTAATATATAATTTATGGTTGTAAAATTTGTTTAAATATATAATATAAAACTAATTGAACATTTCAAAGTTATTGGGCATTAAAACATTAGCTTTTTTCCTTTGGCACTTATTTGAGTTTTCAACCAAAGACCCATATGTTGGACTCTTAGGTGGGCATCTATCTTTCTTTTTGTCCTCCTTGGTAATTTTGTGTCGGGGTTGGCAACTTATGTTTTTTGATGCAAAATAGAATCTTAGGTAAGTTGCAGAATTGACAGGAGAATTATTGATTGGGTTAATAATTGTATGTTTGATTTTGAACCTTAAAGCTCTCTTTTTCTTGTCCGGGATTGTTGCATTAAAAGTCTTGAAAAGCCCAATGATTGGTCCTATGACCTTTACTTTAGCATTAAAGTGACCTGATTAATTAATTTAATTTGATGGGCATAATGGATTTATGTTGACTCAATTAATTTGGTTTGAGCTTATATTCATTTGAAGAACTAGATAGAAGATTTGATTTAAATTGTCATTTTAAACTTTGATAGGATATTAAGACTTGAATTTTAATTATTTGAGAGACGTAATGGACAAGAATTTTAACCTAAGGATTATGGGAAGTTTTCTGTAGGTTTAGTTATTTAGAATTTGAAATGACATATAAGAACGGGTCTTACATTTCTATTCTATAAACAAGACTATCTACTTGGTGGGTTTTGCAATCTTGCCCTATAATTAAGGTGATTTACTTAATGGATCTTATGATCTTGCCAGGTAGATAAGGCAGATCGATTGATTAGATTTATAAGATTGTTTTTTGTGGTTTATTTCTTTTGTTTTTTAAAATTTGAATATCTTTTTGCAAAATCAAATGTTGATAGCTTGTTGTTGCAGTTGGGCAAATATTAAGTAAACATTTATTGCATCCAATATGTTTGTTGATATTTGTTGAATTTGTTAAATTTCAAATTATTTCTTTATGTGAAATTTAGATGTGATTCTTAGGCATATTTTGTAGTTTGGCATGTGTTGTTAACCTTAGCATTGATGTGTCTGCGCACTTTTCACCCCATCCCACCCCCCCCCAACCCCTCCTGGTTAACTTTATAATTTGTATTTGTTTAATGCTCTTTTTATAGGCAAGAGCTGGAATAGATTATGAGTCCTCTTATGGGAAGATGCATCCAAATGATACCATTCTAAAGCTTCAAAGGACAACACCATATTACAAGAGAAACCGTGCACATGTTTGCAGTTTTTATGTGCGTGGAGAGTGTACTCGAGGTGCTGAGTGCCCTTATCGGCATGAAATGCCTATGACTGGGGAGTTGTCACAGCAAAACATAAAAGATCGATATTATGGGTATGTATAAGTACTAAGTTCTTCTTAACTATCATTTGTCACCATCCCATTAATCATTGCGTGCCTTTAAGAAGTGAGATTCTTTGATAAAATGATATTAATTCACAGGTTTATTGATTGGGTTTGTGGTCTGCTTGCACCCCTCATGAGATATTCTCCAATGAAATTTTTCCCTTGGATGCACAGCATGATATGTTTCACAAATTGATCGTGAACATTTTAAAATTATTTTCACAATCTGCAGTTAGTTTAACCCATCAAGTACATATTCAGACCTAGAAATTCATGATTTGTCTTCATTTATTTATGTTTAACTGCCTTCTTAGTCCTAGTAATGTGATTCGTAGCATTGTCCAGATTATTTTCTTCTGCCTATTTATATTTCTAATTGGACAGGAGCAGCATGTGTCTATGTCCATATTAGTAAGCCAAAAGGAGAAACAAACTCTCTTAAAAACCTCTATCCATGAGATTGTTGGATTTCAAAATCTTCATCTTTTAATATATATATATATATATATATATATATATATA